TGGTGTTGACAAAATCAGCAAAGAGTAGTAACTAACCAAGGGTAAGTCAAGGATATGCAATGTCACCCTTGTCTTATCCCTTGATAATTATTTAATATTTAAATTAATGATGTAATTATTTGATGGCAACAAAATCTAAAATAAACTACTACATTCAAGATAAAATCATTTTGTTATTTGCTGATGGCTAATTAATATTAGCCAATTCTGAAAACAATATACAAAGAGCAGCATTCTCTCTCTACAAGATTGGTGTGGGTATTCACTTTTCCAGGAAAAGAAACACAAAGAGCCAAAATTATAATTGATAATAACAGTCATTTTAATTATGTAGAATATAACATCTCATATTATAATTCCAATGATTTTGAAAAGTAGCTGGCCATTTATCAACAAATTATTGGCACATTGAAATGGATATTAGGCTGTAAAAGAAAGAAGTTACTGCCTTCAAAGTTCCGTACTTCTGTGTGGTTCAAAGATATGAACCCCCAAAAAGAGAAATGCAGAGAATAGAAGCATCAGAAATGTGTCTCCTAAGACTGTTGGCGAGTTACAAACTTGATGATCATTTGAAAAACGAAGATAGCTGGTAATTGGTAATAACATTAAAATTGGAAATAAAATATTAGCAAAATTGGCCTGAACTTTTGCAATGAATCCAGAATGGGTATTGTGTCTGATGTTAGAATATATCCCTGTAGGAAGAAGAAATAGAGGACATCTCTGCAAAAGGTGAAGAGATCAACTTCTTCAATCCTTGATACTTGTTATTGGAACAGATAAGTGGCTCAAACTGAAATGTATTTGATGATGATGTAGTGTTGCATTCATCAGCAATCATGGTCAAGAAATGAGTTGTTGGATACTTGGACTACTGGAATGGAGATACTGGAACTAATATTGATACTGGAAAGTCATAAATTTTCATGTACGATATAAGCAACCAAAATAGTAATAATCATTTGCTTAAAAACGTAAAATATTGTATGTTCTTAAGTGTGTAGCTCTAGTGAAAAGAAACCTGTTCCATTTGAAAACAAATTGTTAAACTGATTTAAATGTATTCAGCATGTTACATTAATGGTGGAAATCTAGATGGGAGGAACGAACCTTTCCCTGAATATAGCTCCCTAGGAAAAATACATTTAGTGTAATTAGTATAATCTCATTTTTTCACCTGAGAAATAAGTAGTATAAAATTGTGACATAATTTTGAAAAGATTACTGCCAAATGGAATGCTCAGGTGGTAAAAGTAGGTTGAATTGTCAATTTGAGCATTAGAAAATCATGTTAAACAATTTTTTAATCATGTCACTCATGTTTAGGACAAATAGCAGTGGTCCTAAGTCTAATCATTGAGAAACTCCACTAATCACTAAACTCCACTAACCTGCCTCGTTGATGAGAGTTTACTACTAATGCTCGCCTGGAATGTTCTACCAGAAAGGAATTCTCGAATCAATTCAAGTAATTTCTCTTATATTCTGAAGAATTTGAGCTTATGAAGTAATCGGTTGTTTGGAATGTGGTCAAATGCTTTTGCATAATCTAGGTAGATTATGTCGATAGATTGACATTCATCCAGGGCTTTAGTTCAAACATCAGGCTAGCTAATTAGATTTATTGTCAATCTTCCAGCATTGAAATTGTGCTGTTGTTTCTGAATATAGTAGTTTCTTTGTGCAAAGCTTCTAGACAATCAATCCCTCCATGAATTTTTTTTCACTGTGCTAGTGAGACTTTTCCCTCTGTGCTGTAGGTCTGTAATTTGTGGTTTTGTGTGTCATTTTTCTTGATAATTGGTGTTATGGTTGTGTTTTTTTTTCCACCTGGTAATGGTGTCCAAGGATTTCCTGAATATTCTGATCAACAGTATTGCCAAATGAGATGCACAATGATTAAGGTACAAACTTGAGATATAGATCTAGACCTGCTGAAGTCATACAACTCAAGCATTACCCTTGCAGTTCCATTGTCTGAAAACTTCAGAACCCAGGTGCTTCAGTGCCTCTATCTTCCAGAGTTGGAAGTTGATCATTAGATCCACACATATATAGATCTCCTTGAAATAATCAACAAAAAATTATTCAATTTCAAATGGATCAGTTATGGCCATTTTCCCAACTTAGTTGATTGAAGTTGTTCCAGTTTTTCAGACTGTTTGTTTTCATATATAAGAGTAAAATCTCTTGTGACCATCTAGGGCAATTTTTTTTTTTCATTCATTCATACACTCTATGTGATCTGTACTTCAGTAAATAGTCTTTTGGAGACCCTACAAGCCATATAATGCTTATTTGCAGTGTACCTGTACCTCAATCATGAATGTTGTTTAGTTGTGGCTGGTGTCTTGATTTGATTTTCAAATTGATTTAGGGTTTATCGTGACTTCCCTTATAGCAGGCTGTACACGACTGTGATTTTAGAAGATTTTTGTGTCATAGGGTAAACTCTATTATATTCGAATGCCAGGTCATCACTTTCTACCACTAATTTTTATTTGAAGGAAGAAACTAAAAATTGGTTATCAACAATAAAACATAATCAACAAAATTAGTAATCAACAATAAAATTAATTGCATACATTTTACCCCATTACTATTTTCTGACAACCAGGTAATCATTTTCCAAAGTGAAAATGAACTACGAGCTGCTATTTTAAAACAAAGCAACAAAGCCAGTCTTTTTTAATTTTATCTGTCACACTTTAGATCCGAAATAATTGCACATGTTTGATCTCAGCCTCTTAAGAGCTAGTATTGAAATCTGTAATTATATTATTGAACAAGTTAATACTTTTAGTACTTTCATAGATTAAAATTTAAACATACTGATCAAATAGAATTATAGACAATAGCATATTGAGTTCTTTCAATTTCTTTTTTCATCTGTTGATCGTTGGGGAACAAAATCTATAAGACCTAACTGAAGTTCTATAAAGTAATGGCAATATGTGTCTTGTTCTATGGCAGTAAAAGTTGGTCTTAAAAAAAGAGATAAAAGAAGAATTTAGGTCAGTGAAATGAGATTTTTAAGATATGTAGCTGGTTACATCTTAATGGATAAAATGATGACATTCAAATAGAATTAAAAATGCTAAATATATAAGAAAAAATAAATCATTACCAACTAAGGTGGAATGATCATAAGCCAAACACAAGAGGGACCGAAATAATAAAGCAAAACATGTGGGGAGACCTAAGATAAGATGGCAATTCTAAGGAGACAAAATGGGCCAAATGGCTCAATCCCTGAGGATTGTGATTAAGTAAGCAGTATAATCAACGTAATATAAAATATTTATATTTTGAAGTGTTAAAATTATAGTCAACATACATTTTATTCATTCATATTAATTAGTGGTGATATTTATATTTTTTGTATTAGTGAAGCATGTTACACCTGTTTATAGTTTTAATATGCTGCATTGTAATTGACTCACCATTTACTAAACAGATTAGCCAAAGAAATTGCAAACTTATAATGGGAGTTTTAGCTACGGTTTATGCTACCCTCTTGAAAATTTCTTTGTTGGTTAATGTTTCAAGACAAATACGACATATTATTATTATTATTATTATTATTATTATTATTATTATTATTATTATTATTATTATTATAATAAAATGTACATAAAATCATTTACCATTCTTTTTCAATGCATTTCAATATTCCCTAACCTTCAACTCTTGACTTGATGTGTTTTTGTTCATAAGCTGACAAAATATCCTTTCTTTCTAGTTTTTGTCAGGTATAATTCAAAAATACAAACAAATTTTAGCTTCTTGAAGATCTCTTTGAAACAATTAGTAGTACTTACCAACAGTTCACTGATTTAAACAATTTATTTCCAATCCTCTTCTATTCCTAATTTGTAGAGTTAGGAATAAAATCTCGTAGTGTTCAAATGTTCTCGCTTGATATATTTTTGATTAATTTTAAATACATCTCTAATTTGATGTTAATAAATTTCATGCTGTGAGAGGATTCCTTTTCTATCACCTCCCTCTTCCCTCCCTTTCTCTCTCTCGTGTGAGAAACCCTTTACCCTAATTGCGAACATATTTTTTTTGAATGACTTCCTTTTTAATATGTTTTTGTATTAAAATTTTTGAAAGTGGTCAGATAGAAGAGAGGTGAAATGGCCTGAGCCTCCCCACCAATGAAGACATTTATTTATATGACTACATGTGACAATATGGAACTATCCAAATATTTAAGTGTACTCCAAACTATTGATAAGAACAATTCTTTTCTGGGTGATTATTGTAATTGTGTTATTATGTTATGCTTTAAATTTTATACTTGTATTTGTTCATATTTTTATATTCCAGGTTATCTCCCTGCAGGGAGAGTAAATGATGGCATCTGTGATTGTTGTGATGGTTCGGATGAATGGGCTCAAAAATTTCCTCAAGTGAGAATGAGTGGTGAGTGTAATGGAGAAAAAAGTTATTCCTCTATGAATTTGGCAAAATGACCTAAAGACGGCTCCACATATTTGTCATTCGCTGAGCAGTGAGCTTATTGCAAATTCAATCTTGAACAGCTGATGTGTTTGGCGAATGTTCACTTCCTTTGATGTGTGCAAAAGACAGACACATAGTAGCAAGTATCTCATCCACACTACTCAGGATTTGGCAAGCAGTTGCATGCTACTCACCATATAATGAATGTGTGGAGCCGCCTTTGGAGGAAAATATCTTCTAGGACTTCACCAATATCCCATTTAATATCTGTAACTTATCTGTTCTTTCGAAAAATATTAAGCCTTACAGTATAAATTAAAATTATTTTTCTGTTTGTTTCATGCAGACATGACAAAAAATAAGATATTACTACTAATATACTAGCCATATCTATTATACAATTTTGTTTGGGTTTTGTGGTGCTGAATGGCACTGAACTATAAAGGCATTTCTTCTTTTCTATGTGATGAGGAATGTTGGATTGAATCCTCTACCTTCGTATTTGTGTGGATGGATTTGAAGTGGCTTATGATTATCTAGAGCCAATCCCTTTATTGATTCTTGATTTGAATACTATTTCATATCAAACACTTCTTCCTCATTGATAATGTAAGTTTAGATTTCTCTAGAGAGCATAATGCCTTAGAACCAAACTCGCGAAGACATCTAAATCATTCAAGAAGTAATATGAATTTCGGTGTTGGTTCCAGTTATAAAATCTTAGTCGTGCACACTGTTCCATACTTTGAAGTTTTGGAATTTTCTGTCTTCAAGTGATATTTTGGCGATGGCGATGGTGTAACGGTTAGCGTATCGAATCCAAGTTCGTGGGTTCAAACCTTATCGAAGCCGTCGATTTTTAAGGGCAAGAAAATCCTTTGTACGCCTTCCTTTGGAGGGGAAGTAAAGCCAGCTGTCCCATGTTAGTAGCTTTACTGCATGTAAAAGATCCTCAAGCCTAAATGAAGCCTCTGAGCTAAATTCAAATCGCCTGTTTCGTCACCCAGGAAATACCTCCTTTCTCTTCTAGTGGGTAAAAGGAGCGTACTGAAATTTGCGTGGTCAGACAGAAGAGTGGGCCTGATTGCCTGAGTCTTGCCACAGAAAATAAGGCATCAGTACAATTCAATTCAATATTTTCTCATTTTTCTTACAGTTATGATGCTCTATAGGTGATGCAGCTTCCTGTGATTTTACCAAATTTCTTGTTCTGAAAAGCATTGATATTGCGTAAATCTTGCATTTACGAGCTGTTTCACTAAATTTTATTGATGCATATGTGCACTGTTATAAGTCAAGTTTTCTCCCCATTCCTCTTTTGCAATTCTGTATTAACTCTCAATAATTATAAGGCATTTATTATTATGACATAAAATATTATTTTCATTATTTGCTATTACAGATACTCACATAATAAGTTGAATTTCAGATGAGTAAAGGGTCTAATAATTACTGCAGTTGTGTAAACTCAAGAAATGAACAGATTTTTGAAATATTGTATTATGCTGTGTGTTTGCCATGTACTAATATAAGTAACTTCGACAATTCATATAAACTTGACATTGGCTAATTTAATTTTCTCACAAAATTAATTAATGTTTGTAATTTTGTACAGTGTTTTAAATTAAACTTGAGCATAAGAAAATATAACTTCCAAATTCATTGGCCATCTGTTGTATCTATTTAAGAATGTGAAGGAACATTGTCTCATTAGAATGAGAATGTGAAGGAACTATTGCTGTGAAGAATACACCCATAATTTGAGTATTCCTTTGCAAATAATATCTCAACAAATTTCCTTCTTAATAGAAAAAACAAACAAAAACCATTATCAGTCTTTATTGAATAATGTCTTAGAGTTGCTTGAATAGAAATAATGAAATTTATGTCTATTATGTAGTTGCTATTTCTTTAAAATAGTACTTACAAACATATGTTTGCCCTGCCATTAAGCAGTTTTTAAATCCATGTCATTTTCATATAAATGATTTAAAAGACTCTAGAACTTTTTTGTTTGAATTTAAGTAAATTTAAAATTTAATTTATTTCTACTAATAACTAGCCTAAATTAAATAAATCTCCAAGGTTTAGGAAAAATGGTAGAATAAAAATGTTTTTTAAACATATATTCCTTCTTTCAATGCCTTCTAACTCTTCGATTTTTTGTTTCAGAGAATGACCAGACTAAGCTGGGGAGATACCAGTCTCCTTGCCCTAATTTATGTCCCGAGGATGTATAAACTATGATGGAATGTGTTAAGATTGTGTTGAAATACAATATAGTTTACAAGTTAAAAACGCTCTCTTTAATTGGAAGAGATAATGGGAGAAAATAGCTTTATACAAAGTGTTTTGTACACTACTTCCAGAACAATGTGTGTTTCCTTCATGTCTCACTTTTGTTGACTGCTTTGAAAATAAAGACTTGGAATAAAGTTGTTTAGTGTATAACTTGCAGAATACTTGGTAAAATCCAGGTCTTTATTACAATCTATTAAACAACCTTGCCCCCCTCCCTTCAACTACTATAAACAAGATGCATCTTTAAAATAAGTTGACTGATAGCCACTATCCCTAATATGTAAGTTTCAAACACACATTAGCATTCTGGGCACTGTATACATATAATAAGCACCACTCAAACTATTAAAGTTTTTAACTTATTTCTTTACCTGAATTGTTTTATGGTATACTAAAAACTTTTATTCTATAATCTTCAATTTATATGTTACTCAAAACATATCTTTTGATTTTCAGCTTTTCATGTTATATCAAGTATGCTAAAGAAATGTCCAATTACAAGACCAATACAGTGGATAACATTGTTTGCTTATTGGTGGAACCACAATATCTGAAAGACAAACAAAGAAACTGAAAATTCCAAATATTTCGACATATTATTTTCTAAAGAAATAAATACCCAAGTTTAAGTTGTAGAACACTGAGTAACAACTGCTATCTGCCATATATTATTAGTTACAAACATTAATTTAATGCATCATAGAAAATTGCCATCCCTTTTACTTTCCCGTGTATGTATGTGTATACATAGTATAGGGTAAGTTATGTAATGCTGTGGAAACTCGATTTCTAGATGTCAATGGAAATACACATTTTGTGGTCCCTGGATACCAAGAGTGTTTTTTTTTTTTCAAAACGTCCGTCACAATCAACAAAAAGATCAGAATGGTAGAATAACATTGGTATTCAGGTCATCTAGAAGGAAGTATCTCAAAATTAAATCTGGACGTATTTCTTTCATTGTACTTTTTATTCACAAAATAAAAGATGATACACAATCTTTTTATCTCCTTCAGTACCATTTCACTTCTTTCAAAATGAGTGAAAATGTCTAAGGAACTCTTGAATCAGTTTGTTTCATATCTCACTATTTGTGCATACATTTTCTTTAAGCATCTTCAGCTCACATCCATTAAACAAATTGTTAAGTAAACATTGAGTTAGACATTTCATTGACCTGGAAAATTTAACTGTCATACACGGGACACAAACACTCTGTTTCACTACAAAATGTAATAATTACTGTCAAAATCTTTCATGAACATACAAGCCACAATGTATTGCACTACATGATAATGTTTTGTCAATTGCTTCATTTTTCATTGCATATTAAAACAATTTTATCACGAAGTGGGTTTCATGAAAAATACATGTTGCACAAAATGTATAATCAAGCAAACACTATTAAAAATGTGACGTGTAGTTAATATTCACTGTACAATGCTGATGTAACCATTTCACTAACATGACAGAATTATCATTCCATTAAAAAATTGTTTTCATTTTTTTCTTAGAGAAAAGTTATAAAACCCCTTTTTTTCATCTTTTTGTAGTCAAATGTAGTACTTGCTGTACTATTTCAGCAAACACTAAGTAACGAAGCACTATCAAACATTTAGTACAGTGAACAATTCATAAAAAAAGACTAACTTTGCAATTGCCCTGATGTTTAAGAAATAAGGAAAGAATCACAAACCGCTTTCTATTATGTGATGCATGATTGAAATAGGATCACTTTATCCAGACCTCTTGTTCATCTAAAGAGCTGATCTATTCAATCATCAATAGATATGTGATACAACCTGAAATTCAATTGTTTCCGGGAGAGAGAAGAAAAAAGTCTCAAAGGTCTGAATCAAAATTCTTTGTCTAGACGGATGCACTCTTTTGGTCAAAGCCTAGAAAATACTTCTGAATTCAAAATATTTGAATTCCATAATAATAACAACAAGAAGAAAATGTAGATATGCTAAAGCTTGTGCATCCAGCATCCTTAAATATATCTGCATGAAGGTTACCAGGCAAATACTTCTACATCTGAACAAAGGTGAAATTGTGTTTCCAAAATTATAATTTCCTTGAATGTTCTGAGCCAACTTTACAACTAACTAGCATGCAATATTTTTATTGATATAACTTGCTGGCTGAAGCCATCGATATGTTGAGCAACAGGGAATCATTAATCAGCAATGTGTCAACACACCACATTTAAGGATGAGAAATATAAAGAAAATGATACATCAAGTACTCTCATAAATACTGCATATACTCACACATACATACATCTATATTTTCTAGTATAATGAAACCAAAATAAAGTTCACTGATTAATTCTGAAGGTAAAACAAAATTTCAGAAACCCACTTCGGTTTTAGGTAGAAATTACCAAGTATTTTAACCTCTGTCTAAAAAATGTAAATAAAAAACATAATTTTGATACAATTTTCATTTGTAAGGGAATTGTATGTGAAAACTGCTGATTATTTTGATTAAGGTTTGTAAAAATTTATTGTTTAAAATGGTGCCCAAAATGGGTTAAGTTCTGTTATGACAGGCTTGCGAGATTCAGTTTGATGGCAATTTTTTCATTAATAATTTATAAATGATATATGCGACAAATGTGACAAAAGCTACATAATAATTTCATTACTTTTCATGCAATGGGTGAGATACTATAACACCTTGTACAATTACATCCATTTCAATTTATGAAACAATACATCTTTTTGCTTTTAATGGCACATGCATCCTTTTACATATAAATCATTAAAAGAAAAAACAGGAAGTAAAGAGAAAACAGGTGGAAAAAAGTCTCAAATCTTATTTTTACTTGCCACATGAAATTACAGCTATAGTTTAAAGAAGACGACAAAATAATGGAACATGCACTCAATGTTGAAAATTGAACTATTTCGCTTCAGCCTGATGAAAGACTGAAAGAACCTCAAAATGGGTGCACAGACTTGAGACTTGATTTTCGAAATGCACAACCCTGTGTACAGGTGCACCCAATCGTCGTAAAAGATCACCAAAAGCTTTCTCTTCTTTACGTATCCAAGGACGTCGATCATCATTTATTTGGTATGGTGTAACATGAATGTGAATGCCAATATCTAAAATGAAAATACACATTTACTGGTTAATTGTTAATAAGATAAAATACTAATGATTAGGGCCCGGATGTTTATATGTCATATTCTTTTGTTTAGATTTCCATGGAAAATATAAGTTATGCATGATTTCATCTACCCTGACTAAAATTATGCCACAATTTTACATGTCATGTACAGTCATAGTTTGACTCTTTTTAATCTTTTTGTCATTTTCCGTTAATATTTCTTAATATTACAGACATATTTTTGAAAAATTTTTGAAATTTTGCATATTCTCTTCTAGATTTTTTTATATTCCTATTACTAGTGACACACTTTGTCATAGGGTGAAACCATTTACTATTTTGAAACTCACAAATGATTATATCAGCACCTCTTAACACTATTGATTTGTTTGTCAACTCTGTTTCTTCTCTTGCTGTGAATATTATGTATTGTTTGAACCCCTCAGGATAAATGTATATGCTTGCAGAGATGGTTCTGTAATTGGGGTAATCTGCTGGACTTTTGTAACTAAAATAAGATCTGGCTTGCAGACATCTCAAAGATATTTTCCATGTTTCCTGATTGTTATCTAATTGCTGCCTATCTTTCCTATAAATATATATTTATGTGAATGAGGAGGGTAAGTGACATAGAAAGAACCAGATGTGAAGGAAGCTTTAGTTCAGTTTTGACAGGTTTTGTGCCAAGATCAATTGCTTTTTTTAAATAACTTTAGCAGGTAGTATTGTCTTGATATGGTGCCAAAGGAAAAAGTGAATGTGCTAGATTTTAAAAGGATATTTTCAATATAATAGTTATTTAAAAGGGGCAAAATGTTGAAGGTTTCAAAAATACAACCAAAAAACTTTTAGGTCATAAATGCTTACATATTTCTAACATTTTTAGGTCATAAACTTCCAGGCCCAACTACTACTACTACTTATAATAATAATAATAATAATAATAATAATAATAATAATAATAATGCGAAATTATTGATAAACGTACATAAAAGCTGATGAAAAACAGGGAAACTTAATATTTATTTTGAAATTTCCTAGCCTTTATCAATCAAAACTCAAAGCATCTTCTAAGTTGGGTTGGGAGATGTAACAGACATAACTTTTTCTGAAAGTTATTTATCAACTCCAATAAGTATTCTATCAGTTGTTTGCTTTTTTAATTCACTGCATTATGTTATATCTAAAATATGTTTCCAGAAATAAAGAACTGAGATGTGTTCATTAACACAGCAAAAAATTGGGAGTGTGAGTGGTTAAACATATCACTTCATATAGAATAATATCATTATGAAATACTCTATACATAATTTATCACAAAGACGAATGAAGAATGTTTTTGAAATGAAATTTCTGTCTTATTATTTCATCTCGAAGGAAGAAATCATATCAACAAAAATGTTTCAAAATATTAAAAGAAAAGGATATATTCCTAGATAAAACTCTAGGAATACACCTTCTCCAAGTCAGAGAAGACTTAATAATCAGTGGGAACTAATGTTTCAGTGATAAATCAAGGCTGAATGAAGAGCTGACGTATTCACTACACATCTTTACACTGTATAAGTAACAGTACATTCATTTATTTTATTGCATAACTCTCCACCAATTGTATGAGTATCAGATTATAATAACTGTTTGAGTTATGACTATTGTAACTATCCATTGTTGAAATACTTTCAGGACTACTAATTCTCTCCCTAGTTAATACAATTCAGGATGGTGAAACATTTTTTCATATGTGTTTCCAGAGAAGAACAATGCATTGTCAATGTTTTTAAACACTTTTGTCAATGTCAATTTTTTTAAAGTAAAAGAAAGTTACATGACTAATATTTCAATTGTGATTCTAGTAATAACCAATGATGGCATTTTAAAAGGTGTATTTTTCTTATCTTACTATGGTGACATTTACACAATTTCTCAGCATTCTGATGGTAATAAAGAGTTGTTTATAAAGGAATATTTTGGCATTTGAATGTTATGTTAGTTTATTTAGGAGAAAACTGCATTATAATGTCAAAATTTTAAACTTTTCATTAAAAATCATATTATAATAACCATGAAGGGACATGTATTTAGATAAAATAATTTTCATAATTTTTAATAAACTCGATTTTCACTAAAAAAATTCAAATAGTTACATACTCTTTCAAAAGTAAAAAGTTTAATTAGTAGAGTAGAATTTTATCTTAACTCAACGCTAGGAATTAAATGTTGTAAAGTAAGTGTAATGTAATAAAGTAAGTGTAATAAAACCAATACTGTGTACAATTCGGGACACTTCGAACCTTTCTCATACTTTTAATGGGAGACAACTGCTCACTGCAAAGCGAGTCACGTGACCTGGAGAATTGGCAACTAATTCAAATTACAATACATATATAATAACTTTTGAATCACTGTGTGAAATGTAAGTAAACATAATGGAAATTAAACTAAACATCTTTTAAACTTATACACTTCGTACTTGATAATCACAATTGCTACGACAGGATGGGCCTCTAGGTCAATGGTTTCAAAAGTCTCCCATATATCGCTGAGTGTCCTCTGTTGTCTCTATAGTATTTGGTGTTACTTATTTGCAGGACTTCTCCTCAAATTGTTTTAATCTAAATTAAACTGTTTCAACTTCCAATATTTCCTGCTATATTCTCATGGATTTTATCAGTGATGAAGTCGTATTTTGTTTTCTTAGTTATTTTTTGTGAATTCTAGACATTTACATGCTTGCATATTTCTAATCTGCATGAAAAACGTTTCCTAGTTATAAAAATAGGTATTTTTCCTTTTCCGAAACAATAGACCCTGTATAGGTTTTCAGAGAAGCAGCTTCAAATTTAAAACAGAATTTTGAGTCAAAATGTATATACTGATGTGCAAAAGAAACAATCAGCACCAGAAGTATGGTAAATCCAGGTACAACAAACGATAAATGCATGAATGTAATATTATTAGATGGAACAGATCTTCCTTTTGCAATAAACAAGTAAAAGAATGGTTAAATTTTATCCCCAGAAGAAAATAATTTTGTTTTAATAATATAACAAAATTACTCTCAAATATTTTTTTAAAATTATCAACATTTTATCCTGCGCTAATATATGCTTACTTAGGCGAGTAAGAGTTTCCAGTAGACTTCGAGATGTGATCCACGTATTCTTTCCACCAGCATGTCCTCCATCCAACCAATACATGTCTTGTATTTGATCCACTAAATTTGCCATTGATTCATCGTCTGGAGTAAGTGTTTTTAAATAGTGAAATTCATAAATAAACTGATTCAAAACAACACAGCCTTTACTGAAACCAATAAGTATAAGTTTGGATTTCTCGAGACACAGATCTTTCTGCCACCACATTTGTGTTTCTTCTCCTGCATCTTGACTTGCCTAAGGAGGAAATTGACTTTCATTAATCAATTAAATTTTCACACACCATTTGTTTATCTCAAACTATAACTATTATGTAGTAATAATAATTATTAAAATATAGAAATATTAACAGCACAAAGTAGAGAAACATCATCCGAATGTAGCACTCAGGTCAGTGCTATTTACCAAATACACATAGAGTTTGTCAAATAAACCAGATTTTAAATGGCATGGAATTTGAGTTATTGTTAAATTTTATGGACTATTTAATCAAATTTTTCCCAAAAAATGAATTTGTCCATCCCAGAATACATGAAGAAAGAAAGAAAAAAAAGCCTGCTGTCAACTTACAAAATGATGGAGAGTAATGGTGTGAAAAAAAGGTCATGCTTCACACAGACAAAGCATGGATTTTTTTTTATCTAGGTAATTACAACAAGAGAAGAAGGAGTTTTTGAGGCACTCTATTACTTGCATATTAGCTTCTATAGTAATTGACTAAGAAACTATAAAAGTTCTTGTGTGCATTTGCACAAAAGGTTATAAAAAAAATTTACATAGAGCATGTTATTCTAGAGAAGGAATTAAAAACATTAATAATTGGCGATGTGCATAATGGTAAATGAAGCTCTGAGGAATGTGCTACACTTGAGTGTCCCAATATTCCAACAGGTAACATGGGAGGCGAGTACAAGAAATAATAAATTTATAAGAACATATGTCCAACTCAATGTTTCAGCACTCTTTGGTTTTTTCCTTCCTAAACTGAATCCCAACACCTGTTAATGCACCAAGTGCCAAACTAGTTGAAGTTAAAATGGTATCTTGTTACCTTACCTAAACCAAAACTTTTTTTTGAAAAATGGCCCCACTGATTGAGTTCAATGGTTTTCTGAGTGTACGTGAACAAGTTGCACTGCCTATTGCAACATGCCTTCACCTGCTTTAATAGTAGTTACAACTTCTGAAAAGCAAGCTGCAAGTTCTTCACCAATATTAGTCCCTGAACAGTACCTCTTCTTTCATGCGATCTAGAATGCCAAAGAATAGGATCAACATCTTGAACCATTATGAACAGTACTAATGGTTCAGATGATCTGGCACGTTCTTGGTGAATATAAACTTATATCATACTGAAAGACAATGGCTTGTGCCCAGAATTTCTTCCATGCACGTGTTCAAATCTGGCAAATGTTCATGGAGTAAGTGAATATGCGAACACATGAAGTCTGCTTTCTATGTGAGGTTTGTGCTGCACACCCCGGAAGTGATTGGTTTACAGGTGCAGTCCATTGTCAGTTGTTTGCTGAGGGGTTTGTCATTTTCATATATGATAGAAAAAAAAAAAAAAAAAAAACAATACAGAATGTACTTTTTTCTTTACAATTTTTAAGATATTGTGTTTGTAAAATCTTTGAGTTGTTAATTTTGCATTCAATTGGCACTTGAAACTTTTTACTCAAATCTAGCAATTAACACATAATAAAAGTCAGACATACGGACATATAACTTTCCTGTCTAAGTTTGCCTTGTGGAATATTGAACTTTTGTCCAGGGATATCCTGAATAATTTTTAATACTGAATCAAGAAAACAAAATTTAAAAATTTTAAATTTTAATATTTAAATTAAAATTTAAATATTTTGTATAATCCCTTAAATATTTATAAACACTTTTCTTACTTGTTGGGACAACCTTTCACCTCTTCCAAACTACTTTGTGAAAAGTTAATTCTGTTCCAGGATAACTTCAACTAAGAAAACATCACACCAAATATTTTCAATTGTTGTCTATTGAATGACAAATAATACTAAAGTAAAATAAAATTAATACAGTGGGCATGGAGACAAATTCTAGCAGTGGGTGAGGCATAGAATCATTCAATTTTTCACATGATTCACAATTTATGGCAACTGATTAAGAATTGTTAAGTTGCTGATTAATTTCTATATTGCTTGTAACGAATAGCAGAAAATCACAAACAAAATTTAACAACTTAAAACTTTGAATCATATGTGCACTCCCAATATCACATACAACATATTCTAATATTAGGTAATATATACAGAACGTAAATTCGATTTAATTTTGAACAAACTGATAAAGTCTTGAAGTTCAGAGTTGACATTGAAATGTTGAAAGCTAGTTCATGCAAATATTTATTCCATGAAATAATTTTTGTACATTTTATGTATAAAAAGTAAAATAATCTTTAAGATCCATTTTAACCTGCCAATTATGAGTGCCTGGAAGTTCACAGTTTATACTTTAAATTAGTACACAGATATGGATTCTGTTCTCACTGATACTCTCAATTTATATTGCTGACCTAGAGCTCTGATGGTAATTAGCAAAGTTGTCAGAATTTTAGGGGTAGTTCTGGAAGTCAATTCACAAAACCAATTATAATAGTGATGAAAATATCTGCTGTTCATAAATAATAATCACTGCTCTGCATTACACACTTCGGAGATGGAAAAATTTATTGTGCAAGCATGCCCACAATACTATGCACAAGTGCATGAGCATGCATGCTCCCACATACTCACTCTTGATGCCACAATCCTACTCTGAGAATGGTAAGGTATATGCAGACCAACTCATCAGTCACAGATGTTCACAATTTAATTTTTAATGTTGATATATTTTAATACTAAAAATAAAAAAAAAATAAAAACTTTGAGAACAAAAATAAACTTTTTTTCCTCCATGTTCAGACCTGTAATTCCTCTGGAATAGAGGACATGCTTCGAGCCAATTCAGATGCAGGCATTGCTTGCAGTCGCTGGGATACTCCTCTCAGTAACTGTTCCAAGTGCTGCAAAGCATGGTGCATTGGTGTGTGGTTAGGGGCCCCAGAATTATTGCAGGGGACAAAGTTGTCATAGCAGCTAAAAGTCTTCATTTCCATTCTGCAAATATTAAATTCAACTGTATCATAAATGCAGAACTAACAAAGATGTATAGATAAATGGCAAATATGAGTATTCTGTTAAAGAAAGAGTAGTCGTGCTTTCGTGATGTGAAACTCTGGAACAAGTGTGTAGATATCTTGGCATAACACTAGAGAAAATATTATTGTTTAAAATTCATCTATCTAATGGGAAATCTGAGAACTTCAGGTAATATATTAGTTCAGGTGCCATTCTCAAGGCTGAACACAATTTGAAAGGAATCGGTGCAAGGACAGACAAGGAAAATATTAATAAAACAATATACATTCAATTAAAATAACACAACCACACCCACCCATGCACTCCAAAATGCACTTCCGATGAACAAATATCCAGAATTTTAGACAGACATATGTACAGTAGAAGTTAGAGCCATAATCATTGCAGTAAAATAGAGTGAAGAGAATAACACTTTAGGACATAAAGGTGCTTGAAAATGAATAAAGATTACTTAGTTAAGTTTTATTATTCATTTTAAGTCAACACTCAATTATTGTTATTAAAAAGTAATAAAGTGCACAAAATATTTGAATAGTATTTTGGGTATGACAGTCACACTTTGGACAGTAATATCTCTCATGCAATCTCTAATGCTGCATCCCACAAGGTGAACATGCTTAGGGTTTGCAGAGAAAAGGGGTAACTATGAGTACACCTCACATCATGTTATAAGCAACATTATCTACAGCACAGAGCAAAACACATTTTTTACATTTCCTCTCTAAAAATGGTGTCAATTACAAATGTATAGAAAATCATACACTATTTAGGACAGTCTTTATATATTTTTATGGAATATACTCCTCAATATACTCTTTTAAAGCTAACAGCATAAGCCCGAGTTCTAAATCTGGGCCTGGTCAATATGGATTGGAAAAACTTAAGTGAGGAGCTTCAGGGGAGATTGGTCCCTTTCTATCTTTGCAGATGTAAGGAATTGTGCACATACAAGGCAGTACAAATCCAAGGGAAAAAGCTCCTCATGGGAGAAAAGCGCCTCACTTCAACTTCAGGTGTAGACGTCTTTCTATGAAATGAGGAAGTGTTTCAGAATGCTGTAATTCGCCACCAAGCTCGATTGTAGAAATCTAATAATACATCCATGGAGTGCCTGCAAGGGGATTGGGAAGGAAAGGAGGCAACACCCCCTATAGTTTCAAGTCCATCCATGAGTGCCTCTCGCATTTAAAATTGGGGACACAAAGGAAAGTGTGTTATTTTGTAGAAGTCACGACAAGTTTTTATCCAAGGCAATGAGGCACACAAGGAAGATCAAAAAAATGTCCTGGTTGTCACAGCTATTCATTTATTCAATAATTAATTTGATAGTTATCATAGAAAACGACAGCATACATGAAGACACGGCAGTTAGAGCAGTAATAGGGGAAATGTGATGGTGGACATACTACATCCACCAGCTCAAGCTCTTTCGTTGGTTACGTCCATGAGAGAGAGTTTTTTTAAAATTATTTTTACATCATGTAAAGGGAAAATCTCCAACTTTAATATATTAGTTTTGCAGTTTTCGGAAACTGAGAGAGATCAAAGAAATCTGACCTGTGTCATTTTTGTAAGCATGCTTATCCATGAAGAAATAAAGAAAAACATTTGGAGTCGTTTTTGAGAAAATTTTCAAAATTATCTTGTGGCTTCACTTTCAAGGAAAAATTGAAATATCCATTCCAAATTTGCAGGATCTCAAATTTAGCCACATAGATCAGGAATGTCAATTATGGACAAATTTATGTGCTAATGTTGACCATAAAAAGACGTTTTGATATAAACCAACTTTTCGGTACCAAGGACCCACAAAACCATAAACTGACTTCACAGTGTATTAGAAGTAATTTACAACTTATGGAAGCAAGAATTACCTATTTTTGGGATCACAGTCCCGGAATACAAGTTTTTCTATCACCCTCTCCCCAAAGAAGTATTCTGCCCCAGCAATTGTGAAATATCGGCTGGAATTATTATTTGAATCACAGACAAATCAAATTTCTCCAATATAGTGTCATAGCGAACACATGCCAAAATTTGAGGGAGAATGTTTTAACGATAGAATAATTGACAACCATGTCCAAATCAGGCCATAAGACAAACACATACTTGCAAAAAGTCATTCATTGATTATAAGTTTTGTTCAGTTTAGCATAAAACATGATTAACATTCATGTGACCAGAAGTGTGTTATGTGTAATACACTGCATTAGCAAAGCATTGCCGGGTTCACTAGTTTTGGATCTAATAATGAGCCAATTAATCTATTCAAAACATGTGTGTAAACAGCACATAAAGGCGATTAGATAATGTAAATTTTGTAATGTGAAATTATCCGCGGGAGAAGCTATGCTAAGTTTCTATGAAGATTTAACATGCTAGGACGAAGTACTCCTCGTTAAGCTAATACATGTGTTCTCACTTGTCCTTAATTCAAAATGTGATTTTTGGGGGTGTGCTGTGGTGTAACGGTGTGATGGTGGTTTGATTGATTTCTTTAGTGATTCCAGGCACGTCAACTACCAAGGTAATTAGTCCCGTAAGTGTAATGCATGTTTTTTGCTAGGGAGGTAGTTGTTCCCGAGCTCTTCCCGCTGTATGGTGAGATCCGGCGCCGACCTACCGTCGGCTAGAGGATTTTTTCCTCAACCAGGTGTCTCCCACAAGCAGGGCACCGCCCCAGCCGGGACAAGCTCTTAGCTCTCGACAGGTGTCCCGGCAGGCGTGGTAGTGTAGTGCATGTTTGTGTGTGTGTGTGTGTGTTTGTTAAGGGGGAGGATAGGACAAGAAAGAAGAAGGTGGGATCGCGCGCGGTCCGTGGCCCCTTTGATAGGTTTCTGCTCCGGCATTCGCCTGGTGTTGATCGGAGAAACCATGGAAATCTGCCGATCAGAGCAGCCGGCCGCTAGAATTCTCTAGATAATTGCGTCGGCGGGCCGCGGGCAGTGGCGGCTGACGTGGTAGTGGTTGACGGAGTGTTGTGGTGGGATGATGGTGATGTGATGATGGGGGATGATGTGGTGGTGAGTGATGGTGGGGGTGAGATGGTAATGGTGGTGTTGATGGTGGGGAGTGAAGTGGTAAATGTGGTGGTGATGGCGGAATGGTGGTGGTAGTGATTGATGGTGGCAGTGCTAATGATGGTGATGGTGGTGGAGGTGGTAGTGATGGTAGTAGAGGTGGTGGGTGATAATTATGGTGGCGGTGGTGGTGGTGTGGTAGAACAATGAGATATGGTGAACCCATGACAACCCGCCACTAAACAGCATAGTGCTTAGCCCATCACACAACCAGAGGAAGATCTCCAGGCACTTGCATAGATAAGCAGTCTCTAGATTGTAAACCAAGCAGCTTAAAGCAAAATTTACTGATATTTTTATTAAGTCTGAAAGTGGTAGGATAATTGAGGAGTCAGATTACTAAGATGCACATGTAATCAGTGGTCAGACATTCCCATAGAGATCCAAGGGAATCAACTTACCTCGATGGTCGAACAACTACAATGTGACTTTCTGGGAAGTATGTATGAAGAAGGGTTGCTGTATTTTCCAAGTTCCATTTAACATAGTTTTTATTGTCCCTGTGTGTCTCCATATTCTCAGGAAAATCCTTAAAAAAGGGGTTCAATGTTATTATACATTCTCTATCCACTGATTTAGTTGCAATTTGCATTGCAATAAAGTTAAGTAAAAGGAGTCTTTTATGAGTTGCACATATTGTTTGCAGTCATTCTCATTCTATTTTCACTTATGTGCAAATACAATAAATTGTTTAAAGTAGAGGACAATATTTATGTTACATGTAGTCATGATTGCATATACCATAATTATAAGAAATCAGATATAATTGTAACTTGATACAATTACACTAAATATTAAATATTGAGAATAGCATGTTAAGTGTTTCTACAACGATATGAGAACTCTGTTATATCAAAATTATTATATACAAACATTTCAAAACTGAACTAGATCAAGGAACTTAAGCAATCCCTGCAATATTCTGTGCAAAGAAATTAATTAATGAAGTTAACCATAAAAGCTATGCTGGGCAGAATTTCACTATTCTTCCTGGTAAAAATCTGATAAACAAACACACAGAAAGTGATCCCCTTCCCAAAACTGAATGTTACACCAAAAAAATATCATAATTAGATCATTACACATACAAGATCATTACATTTAAAATTGTAATTATGTAAGAAAACTATTAAAATATCTGGAGTTAGCAAGACCTCTTAAGCCTGTGAATGAAATACTTCATCTTCTTACTTGGACATCTCCTCCAAAGAAGACAACTGTAGAAACTTCATCTGATCTAATGAGTGGGAAACAATAGACCACATCGTTGATTCTTCGGTCGAAACCAGAAATGCTGCAGAGTCGAATGGAACAAATTGCAGCTGGATTTCCCAACATCTCGCCCTGCAGTAATGAAGACTTAATTACTTAATGTCACACATGAAATAACTTTTCCCTTCCAAATTCAACAATATAACAAATTCTCATGTAGAGTCTGATAAAAAAAAAATCATTTTCCCTCACATTTCATATGAATAGAATTGACCACTTCTGTAAGTGTAACGTATGTTTTTGTAATGAAACGTAATGTTTTTATAATGAAATTATTAACGTATCCCGGAACAATACGATTAAAGCCAGGACTAGTTTTGAAATATTTACGAGTAATTCAACGACTGACATTAACGTTTATAAACTGGGAGACAATAATTCAAGGATTAATAATACACGATGTGCGTGCAAGGTGCCATAGACAAACTCTTAACTTTTTACCACGATTTTTTCGTTAAATTCGAACGATTTGGATTTCTATCTAAAGGATTTATGATAATCTACGTTTGAATTCCAGCAAATACAAAAATTGTAAAACTGAAGCGTTGTCTAATTCGATTCGAAGGAAAAGGGAATAACAGCAATGACGAGAATACGATGAGGGGTGGATAACTCTCTCGCTATCTGCTGGAGCATTACCATTAAGCCTGCTTCTGGAACACGCACTCGCGAAGACCGCACTGGGCACAAAGTGACGTTGCCCGGGAATACATCCATTCGCGCAGCCAACATCGAATTATCACTTGACACCAGTTTATTAACTATAACAGAAGGAGTCACGATTCGATTGCATATGAAATGTTGAAAGATCCTCAGGGCCAATAAAGTAATAATATAGACTTTTCGCATTTGGTTGTCGTAGTCGATTCGCAGCGACGAGACACGTACTGTAATCGGGTGGCGGCCCTGAGAGGAAGGAATCGTGTTTCCCATCTCTCCCACTGGGTGTCTGGGTAGAAGGCTCGGCTTAACTAGAAGCTCGGCTCAGAACATACGTAAATACCCCTCTTTTTGAAAACTTCAAAGGTGTTGACTAACTTGCGTGGAAATCGTCGACAGCATTCCTTCTTCACGTGGGTCATAGGTTCTCAAAGTGGGCGATATCGCCCCTCGTGAGTGCTGGAACAATCCAAGGGGCGCGATAGAAACCACGGGGTGTTAAAATCAAAAGAAGGAAGCGGAGAATAAGAAGAAAAGACAGTAAAGTTTTGAAAACAAAATCAATGAAATGTGAATACTTTTGGTGTAATGTATAACTGAGATGTTGGCAGTTTTCCTAAAAATACACAACATATTCTATCTACAAGTTGGTTTTACAATAACTACGCAATGGTTTACGCATTTTTTCTACTAATTAGCAAGTACCCCTAGGAGGAACAAAACGTTTCGTTAATTTGATTTCTAAGAAACGAAACAGGAATACTGACAGGTGGACGCTGTTAAGAAAATATCTATTTTTTCCTTAACATAACATTTTAAGCGTCACGTAATGAGTGTTACCTCAGTGGAAGGATTCCACTACTTAACACCTACAAATATAGGACATACCGGAAAAACGCTTGAAAACGTGTTGGTAATTGGTTTTGTTCAACTACTTTATAGATTACAAGGAATTTTCATAACTCATTTGCAATTGCGCATTATACGTGATTGATTACAAATGATTCTGGGCGCGTCGACGTCTAAGGTCATCCGTCGCGTAAGTGTAGTGCATGTTTTTGCTCGGGAGATAGCGGAGGTCGTCCCCGCTGGATGGCGAGATCCGGCGCCGACCTACCAACGGCTAATGAGGTTTTCCCCAACCAGGGGGGAACGCCCCAGCGGGGGCAAGCTCTAAGCTCCCGACCGATCTCCCGGCATGTGTTGTAGTGTAGAGTAAGTGCGTGTGTAACGGGTGAGGATAGAACAAGGAATGGGAAGGAAAGATTGCGCGCGGTTCCTGGCACGTTTGGTAGGGTACTGCTCCGGCATTCGCCCGGTACTGATCGGAGAAACCACGGAAAACTACGGATCAGAGCAGCCGGCCGCAAGAATTCTCAAGACAGCGACTCGACCAAGCTGACAAGCATAGTGTCAAAAATTCTACCAAGGTCGGGACTCAAAACCCAGGACCTCCCGGTCAGAGAGACTGCAGAGACATCAGTTGATGCCCTCAGCCATCTCTCCCAGTATTATACGTTATTGTTACGTCCATCTTTTCATTTCCATACTTCTTGTTCAAGTTGCAGTAGTATTTTCATGAAATAGTTTTTAGTTTTATTTTTGAACACTCAAATGGCCGTGGATGTTGCAAGCTGTTGTTTTTTGTATATAACCAATTAAGCACGAATATTTAGCAAATCGTTTCAGTACGAAGAAACTTCCTTTACGTACAACTAGCACACCAATGTACAAGCAAAGACACTCTAGTGCTTATGTAATAGCGCACACATAAGCCTGCGCAGCCTAAAACAAGAGGGGAGAGCAACTACATTTCTAGCGCCCCCCCCGGACCCCTTTTCCATAAAACTTTTTTTTTTAATTTACACGCCACATTTTACTTGAAAGTCAATAAAATATGCAAGGGGATTGAAACTAACTTTAATGATACAATTAATCAATACAACTATTGATTTGGTTACACGGTTACCAGATGGTTTGGAGAGCCTCTTCCCAATGAATGTGCATCAATTCTACAAATCATCTGATTAAAAAGAGTAAAATAATTAATTGAACATAATTACGGAAATATGTTTTATTACGTAGGACTAAGGAGTCCCCTAGGGATTCTCCGGGAGGGGGGCACGGCCTTCTAGCCCCCTTGTGCCTAAGCCTATGAGCTCATACAATAGAACTTGCTACTTTAACACATATTTACCAGAGGTTTTTGCAAACGTGACCCAACTTCCTCGTTAGATTCGAATGCTCTTGTCCTTTTGAGTAGCTTCAGACAGATTTTCTTTTGTTGCATCGAGTCTGCTAGCAGACAATCGTAAAGAACCCCTAGCATACCCTTAATAACAAGATTTGTTAAAAAAGATGTAAGGAAAAACGAGTCCCCCTAACATTCCGTAAGTATTAATACGCCGCTCACGATTTTCGGATGCTAAACGCACTATTATGCCCTCGGCGGCTCGTTGGTTAGCGGGCTCGCTTTCCACGGCGCACCTCGAGTTCGAGTCCCGGTCGGGGCAAAATAATAACTGCGCGCTTTCCTTACAAATGACCCTATATATATATATATATATATATATATATATATATATATATATATATATTATTGCTGTGTGACGATGAGAAAGCCCGCCCTAAGATTATGAAGACCAGAATTTACGGTGAAGGGATGCCTTCGTGCTAACCATAAGAACTCCTTATCCCATGGCCGAGAGGCTGGGTCACCGCTGGTTGGCCAAGGGGCTGTCGAGCCATAGAACAGGACTAACGCACTATTACGAACATTACTTTTAGTACCGAAGAATAACGAAAAAAACATTATATCTAGATATGTCACACCCATTAGTCAACTACATGTGACAAAACCTCGAGAAACATTACGTGGTTCGGTCAATTTAGTTCTGAATGTTTCTTTGTCGAACTCGACCCAAAGAAAATTCTGGATATGGCAGCACATTATAAGGGTAAAAAACATTTAAATAGTAGATTATGGTTAGTGATTTTTTTTCGCCTGGTAGTAAGCAAAAACTCTTACATTAATTACAGACAGTGAAAATTATATCAGGAAGTAGTGGGCTTGCGAATATAATAAGACAGTAAGCCACACATCTCTCCATCATCACATTACTCTTACAATATCGTCTCTCAGGTGTGTCTGCAGTGCACTATTCTGAGTTCGGAAGACTGCTGACACTACAAACTGAATTGTTGTCTCAGGTTATTCGAACTACTCGAATTACACACGCGTCGTCGCTAAGAGCGTTTCGAAGAAATGACTGGTCTGGTTACCAAGGCATGATATACTTAAAAAGATGGGAAGCAACCAGTTGATACATCCAACGGCCTGATTACTCCGTATTCGGAGCGAACCGCCAATAGAGATATGCGGAAGTGGTCAGTCGAGGGTTACACAAAAACAGCTTAGCGGCATCTTTCTTAAAAAAAAAAGGTAATATGATTTGACGCTAAAAGATCTGGCCTGATAATATTTTGCATTTTTCCTTTGCAGATCAGGCTGGATGTTTCAGTACGGGTACAAATCAAAACTTAGTACCCTCTTCGGACCAACACACGTGTGTCTTTTTCTCTTTCAAAGAACACATTAAATACTAATTAAATATTGTCAATATAAAACATGTTATTTAAGTCATTTCTTCTCACACACCAGAGTCCATTCAGAAGAATTATTTAAACACCTGAATACTTATATCGAAACCTTTGTATTAAAATTAATAACAATGATACCTGGAAACTTTGTCAGTCCATTCTTTTCACTACATGACGTTCGGTAAACTGTTCAAAATGAAACAAAAATCGTGGTTGTGAACTCATAAACTTCACAATTTGGAAACGAAATTTGCAAACTATAACTGATACCAGAAAGGCAATTTCGAAACGATATATGAATAAAGATTTACTACGAGAAAATAATAGGTTGTTGAAAATATCGTTTCACCTCATGTCAGTATTTCTTTTTCTTTCTTACAAATCAAACGGTCCATTTGTCTTGTTTCGCTGCCTCTATAAAATGTTCGAAACTTCCAGAAAACGTCCAACAATATTAGCAGCTAGCTACATATTTCACGATAATTTTAAGATTGTTTGCTAAATTTATTTTTTTTAAATAAATTCCGAAAGGGGAGTAATCAGCAAGTCCGTAGATAAAACAAATAATTTAAAAATCCATAAAACCCAGAAGTTTTTAAAACGAAATAAATTACAGCAAATGTAACTGTCGAGGGATTTTCGTACAACGTCCCACCTTGCGGGGAGCCACCGTCGACCTGAAGCGGCGACGGCTACAGCAAAGCAAAGCACAGCAAAGCAAACGCCCGCAGGCAAACGCTCGCAAGCACGCGAGGCGTGGCTAGGGCCAGGGCCAGGGCGGCCGGCGCGCGCCTTACCGTCACCGACGCAAG